TTAGGAAAAAGAGAAGAGAGAGGTTACATGGACCAACACTGTCAGTATTCCCAAAGCATCAGGCACTGGACCAGCGAGCCTTTCCCTTCTGTGCAGCAAAGGGGAAACTTCAGCTGACAGCAAAGAGCGAACTATTCACTGAACACAGACATCAGCAGCAATGCTCTTGGACTGGTGTGAGATAAAAGTCTACAGTTATTTCCTTGCCTAATACATGCCAGAGAACTGAATTAAATACACTCTCTGATATGTTCTCCACCTCCCTCCCCATTTCTCCCCAAACAGTAGCAGGAGGATCTTGCCACCCACATTTGCACTGTCCTGAGGAATGCGTGCATCTATTTTTGGATAATTTTGAAACCTTTGGGAACATTCCTTTTTCGTCACTTTCTATTATTTTTTTTTTCCTGTATTCCCCTGTGAATGTCCTCATCTTCCTTTGGCAGCTATTGCGCATTGAGATGCTCATGACTGAACTGCAAGGCAATCCCTGGAACTCCAGGAATCCTAACCTGGTGAAGCACTTAGCACATGAGTGGGAAATTATTCCCTCTGCCTAAGGAGCAGTTGTCTCCTTGGTCAGCAATAGGCCTGCAGTATTATAGACAAGCTATTTTGTCCAGAAGGCAGAAATAGTGGAACCTTAAAAGGATCTGCTCAGAAAACTGTTTGACAGTTTGATAATGTCTGTACAGGGGTCAAGGACAAGGACAACAATGAGGAGACTGAGGAACAAGTTCACATGAGTCTCTAGCTGTTTACTAAAAATACTACCAACATGATGCTTCTGATATTTTTGTTTGCAGCACTGATCCAAAAAGAGGAAGTGCAGATGGCTGAGAAGATATAAAAAACTTTTGTTTTTCTTCTCCTTGTGACAGGTTGTATAACTGCAGCCCTGGAGAGAGCTGCTAGTGAGGAGTGTCAAGTTAGAACCTGCCCTGCCTTCCCCAGGTGGGTATCAAGAATGCAGTGCTGTTCCCTTCACCATTCCATTGCCATCCTCTATGAGGGGCCTGAGTCTAGAATGCAGTTATAATCTAATTTTCCTGCCCATCCAGTCCATGGATTGTCATCCTACCTTGTCAGTTATCCACTGGAGACCAAGTTAAGCCAAACAACCCATTCACTTTGTATTCCCTGAATAGTTGTCAGATATCAAAACTATTTTGCCCAAATTTAATTTAAGACTGGGCTTCACTGAAAAAGTAGCTCAAGTGATCTGACTTAGTTTTGCTCTAGCATGAAAGTTTAAAATGACAATTTTAAACATGGTTATATATATATATATATATATATATATATATTGTTGTAAGGGTGATCAAGCACTGGCACAGATTGCCTAGAGATGCTGTGGAGTCTCCATCCTTGGAGATATTCAAAATCCCAAACAGCCACAGCCCTGGGCAACCTACTCTAGGTGGCCCTGCTCTGAGCAGGGTGTTATATTAGACAATCTCCAGAGCTGCCTTCCAACCTCACCAGTCCTCTGATTGTGCATTTCTGTGCCTGTGCATGGACTCTCTGTGGACCATATTCTCTATAACAGCCTTCCAAAGCTTGTGGGTCCCCCAGACTTACTTCTCCTATATGGGTCAATAGGTTTGGCACCTGGTTATTCTTGCTACAGTATACTAAGCCATTCTGTTATATTTTTATGCAACATATGGTGGAGGAATATGCCTGTTTGTTTTTTTTTTTGCACATGCAAGAGGAATTGTAAGACAGCATGGGGCAAGAAGGTGTTTAAGCCTTTATCTTCCATATACATAGGATACATGCAAACACAAGCAACAACTTGGCGTCTCTGAACCTGCCAGGCAGGGCTGAAGGTGCTGCCACACTTGGTGAGGGAGCTCAAGTGTGGAAACCTTGAAGTTAAGGACAACATCTAGATCTGAGCTTGAGATAGCGCTGCAGTAAAGTCCTAAAGGTGAAAAGCTGTACTGTCCTTCACAAAATATCTGAATTTGATCTTTGTATGCAGGCTGTTTCCCCTCTCCTCAGAATGACTAAGAAAAAAAAAAAAATGAAAAAAAAAAAAGAGTTTGAAGCTGAGGAAAGGCGGTTCTGGAGTTTAAGGGAAGCACTGGGAGTCAGGAAAACTGGATCTGTGCCTGCTTTCTTTTGAAGGTCGCTGCCTCCATATTATCTTCACTGCACTGTGGGACTAATAACTAACTTCCAGAAGTATTCTGAAAGTTAAGGTGAGCGATGTTTGGTAGCTCATGAGACCTCCTGTGCAAGAAAGGATGAGAGTTACGCACTGTGGGAGAGCTAAATGCTGTGATGTGCTCAAGGCTTGTGTGGCAACTGGATTTCAGGCCTTTCCCCAGCATGCTGCCGCCCATGCTGTCTTACTACACTTTACCATCTTTACAGTGTTCATCCCATCAACTCCCCTGTAAGGTAGGGCAGTCCTGTTTACCATTAACTTATGGGGAACAGAAACTTTGATGTCTGACTTGTCCAAGGTCACACAATGACTCTCCAGATCTGGCAAGTAGGCCTTCCTTCCTCTTCCCTACACAGGTTTGTCTCTCTCCAGTCCACTGCAGCTGTATCAGGGCCAATTTCAAATACAGACAAGCAGAGTGACTCTACCAGCGGAAATTCCCAGCACAGATACTGACTCTTTATCTCAACCAGTTCATACAGGACTGGAATCTGGCTCTGTTATCTTCCTGCATCTGATTCAGGTTTTAGGCTTCTGCTCTGCACCAGGTAGGTGGTCACAGAAGCAAAGTACAGTGCTGTACATGGGCTGAGGCACTCACCAGTATGCAGCCAGTCCTTCTGAATAGAGATGAGTTGTTTCAGGATTTGTGCCTTGATGAAAGGCTCTTTTGGATTTGCACTCATTATTATTGGGATTGCTGCTCCTGAAGGATCCCCAAAGAACTGATGGGATCACAAAATAGAAGGCCAGAACCATAGTAAAGGTCTTTGGCAGATCTTGTGTCTGCCTGGAGCAGCTTCTAGCCACAGGCAGCCTAGGGGGAAGATGTTTTGTTAGAGCTGTCATCTCACAGCAGAAAAGCAGAATTCAGCCATGATGTACCAACCCACCTGTAGCAGGTTCAACACACTGACTGCCTTTGGAGCCTTGGCTCATGTTCCCCTAAGCAGTCCTGCTGCACTCGGGTGGCAGCTCTGTGCCCAGCTCTTCCAAAAGCAGCTTGCCGTGGGAAGGTTTGGTGGGTCACAAGTGCTGGGGCTACCCGCTTGTGTTTGGAGGCTGTGCTGTTCCTTCCTCCTGTGGTCCTAAAATGCCCCATAACAAGCAGGTAGAAAGGTTGATTATAACGCATCAGTTGAAAGCGAGACATGGTTAAGCAATCCAGAGTATATTATCAGCTGCTGCAGAAGCATTCTGCTTAGTCTTTTATTATTTAATTGGTGAAATGAGTAACAAACACACTTTTCAGCATGAAATAAACATCTAATTGTCTGTCAAAGCTGAACAGAGGAAAGCAGTCCATAGCATTCAGATTCCTCACGACAGGAATGCTCAGGAAGGATTGTGACTACCAAGGATAGAAATACTGTTACAATGTCTGGAGGGAATGTCAGTGGTACATGGGGGAGGCTCTGAGAAGGACACAGCTGGAGGAAAGGTACAGAAGAGGTGGGTGGCATGCAGCCCAGTGCAAGCCTCGCAGTGCACAGTCTCGCTCATTATCAAGGACAGCACTGCTGTATCAGCAGCCATGCACAATGCTGTCACTTTCATTTCAAGCCAAGGTGCTCCCACGTGCCCTGCTGCCTCTAGAAGGTGGTTCTCCACCACTGCAGCAAACTGTCACAGGCAGGTGACATCCTGACAGCACAGGCAGTGGTGAGGCTGTGAAGAAGGAGCGCTGGTTCTGACATTTAGGTCTGTTGTACACCTGCCTGTCAGGGAGTCCTGCATCAGCTGCGCTGCATCACTTCTTTTCTGCAACAGGCACAAGTGGGTCAGCGAGTCCCCCTTCTCCTGCTCCTCACGCTGTGCTGTGGGGTCTTCTCTGCAGAGCCTTGGAGTGGAGCCAGGGCTGCAGCCCAGCCACCAGCCGTGTGTGCCCCGAGCAGAGCGGTGCAGGCGCCCAGGGAGACCCCCAAGGCAAACAGGCTGCCCGCGAGGGGACTCTTATGTGTGGGAGGCACATGGTGTGTGACAGATGGCTGCTTATCTAAGGGAACTGATCATCAGCTGATACTGAATCACCACTACGTTTTAGTAAGCTCACTGAGTAAACGGACTTTTCTTTGTTTGATTCCAAACCACCTGTAGCTGCTCTGAATTCCCATTGTAAACCCTCCCTGACACAATAATGCCATTATTCACACATGCATTGAATATTGAATCTGGCCAGGTGGGGCTTATACCGTTAGCTTTTGTGTTTGCTTGGATACTACACAGGGTCATGCAATCCTTACATCCAATGGAGATTCAAATGCAACCGAAGTACAAAACCCTAATACGGTTACATGCTCCATGGGAGCAGGCCATAGGTTATTGATTGCTGGGGTGAAAAATGCAGGACGCTTTCCAGGGAAATCATGCTTAGCAGCGTGCAGGGGACTTCTGTTGTCAGAAAGATGAGTCTCCAGCTGAGGCGACCCCCAGCACTCACTCTGCACTAATCAGCCACTGGCAAATAATGAAAGTTTCAGCCTAAATCAGTAACTCCCACCCGTTCATGTACATGAGTATGTGCATATGTGTTTGTACTAATGTACATGCAAATATATACATGTATGTGTGTGTGTGTATGTGTATACATGCTGGTACATGATTATGTATATATGTGCCTAGACAAAACATTTGATAAATATAAATGGCATAATCACCTATAGAAGTGAATAATTAGAAGGACAAGCACTTTGAAAAGACATATAATAAAGAAATGAAAAGACATAAAATAAATATTATACATAGCCTATGCTATGGATGAGAGCTACGGTAGAATCTTTATGCCAGCAGTGAGACAGCAGGCCAAGATATCTGCAGAATTTAGGCAGCAGGATCTTGAACTACAGCCCTGAACCACTGCCACCACCCCCAATATCTCCCAGCTGAGTTACTCAGTGATCTACATTTCTGGCCCCGGCCAGGACGCAGAGATCCCAGGCCCTGACAGGTGGCTGAGCAACCCCAGGCGCTTGCCTGAAGTCCCGCCAAGCCCCGGCATCTGGGCTGAGAGGCTGATCTGCTGGATGTGCTCACAGAGATGTGACACCCCTCCTCCAGCTCGGGATCTTCACTCAGACCTGCCACCGCTGCATCTTCTAACAGGTAGAACATCAGTCCTTAACGTGAGCACCTCCTGGAGAGGATGCCTAGGATTTCTTCATGGCAGGGTTAAATGTATTGCACTTCCAGAAATGTTTTATCACCATCCTAAACAGCTCTGTAAGCTGTTCTGGACATGCACCCCTAAAACAGCTGTGTCAACACAAAACATGCACTCAACCATCAAAGAGAACTGAAATGATGCTCCTGGGTACTGACAGATTAATCCTATGCACTTCCTCCCAGCCCTGGGATTATGTCTGATTCTTATCCACTGAAAATTTACTGGAAAATACATAAGGGCTAGAGCAGGAGTAATACACAGGAGCAGAGACCAGATCAAGGGCTTTCCGTCCCCATTAACTACTCTAGTGATTAGGCTGCAGAACCCAGTTCCTACCTGCTCTTTTTCTGTCTGCAGACACCTGGCATCCTCTGGTGCATGGTAGCATAACTCTTGCAGGAGGAGATGTCTTCTTGAAAATTCGTGTTCATGTGGACTGAGGACTAGTTTGGGGTCAAGTGTGCTAATCACTGGACTGCTGGGGAAGTCTGCCATTGGTAATGTGTTTGAAAATCAGGTATACTGTATTTTGTGAGATATCCACACCACTCTGCTTCCTTTCTGGATTTGCTGGAGCTCAGGCAGTAAGTAGGCAGCTCAAATGAAGGCAAATGTTTAGGGAGCTTTTGGACATTGCTGCTGGGAGACATGCATGTACAGGCCTTGAGCAGCATTTCCAGAGCATTTCTAACACACTGGCTTACTGAATATGCAATGCATAAATGACAGTCACATGTGCAGTAAGTGATTGCCCCAACCAAACTGAGAATCATCTAGAAATTTTAATCCCAAATCCTCAAACTTCACCTGGGTAAGTGCTTCAGGTGGAATAAGAGGGTATTTCTGGTGACAATTGGACAGAGAATTGCCCTATTTGCAGGACATGATGGCTGCAGGGTGGAAGAGTTTAGATCAAAATCTCAGACTTAAGAATGTAAGTGCTGTATTCGTAATTAATCTCCTAAACCTTTTGCGGGTCTGTCATTTCTTTCTTTCTCCAGTTTTGTAACACAGTCCATGAAAAGTTTTCAGGTGGGGGGAAAGAATCAACTCACTTAATTTAAAACTCCTGGTAAGGATTTGTACTTGTGACAAAAAATGAAGTTTGCTTTCTTAGCTAACCCAGCCAAGTGGTTAATTCTTTAGTAACAAGTCTTGTTTGAATGGCTGCTTCTTTAGAATACTAGAATGGATTTTCAAACAGAAATCCTAGTTTGCATCAGAATTATTTCTGCAGACCTGGTTAACCAGGAATCTATCCCGTGTGATTTCAGGACAGCAGTAAAATCTGCTTTAATTATTCATGATATGTCCCATACCCTATACACATATAGCACAAAAGGGCCACATCTTGGTCCTGAAGTGCTCACTCAAACTCCAGTGTTGCGGTACCCACAGAACAATGGGAGCAGTAACAGAACGAAGAGAAATAACCTTTCAGACAAAATCAGCAAGAGAAGTTGAACAGAGGCCTTGAATGGGTTGCCATATACATGGTCTACAGCCTTGTGTGCCCCAGGAAGCTCTCAAGGCTTTCTGTATGTCAACTGGATGATCAAAGTCAGTGGTATTTTTGTGATTCTTATTTACCAAGACCACTGGTGTGTGCTCAGGGAAATGTCTAGCTTCAGTCGGAGCTGCAATGTCTGCTCCTAATGCAGATTTTTTTCAATATGAGACAAAGAAGGGATGGGTCAGCAAGGGAGGATTTTTTTCACCAACAGAAAAGTTTGAAGCTTGACAGGCTTGTAGTAAACACAAATTAACAAGCAGGTCATGGTTCAGACCCTGAAACTTTGCAGCAGCAGCTACTAACAAGTAATGGTGGGGATTTCCCTTGTATGATGAACTGTAGCTATAATTAGACCATTTAGATATTATCTTCCTAACAGAGAAAACTGCTCAACTCCACAATGCTTGCTACTGCTGATCCTGGAAGTTCCCTCATATATTTATTTACACAAAACCAAAGATCTAAGCTGTGCTGTCTTTGCTGGAGCAAAACTCCTGACTCCTTGGGACCCCTACCTCATGTAGTTCAGGATTAGCTTTCTTGATACTGGGAATAAGAAGACACTTAGAACGATTTATATTGTTCTCCTCTTTCCTCTCACCTTTACTTCCATTCCCTCAGGGTCTTGCTCTCTTTTGAGCAATGAGCTGTAAACAACACAATGTACATTACAAATTGTGCTGCTAGAGTGCAAAGAGGATGGGTAATTGTTTTGAAAACATGAAATACTGTGTAATCAGCCCCTTCACTGGTACCAATAAATCATTTCAGTCCTCAAATAAGCTGCCAGTTACTGAATTTACACACAACATCAAAGGGCCAGCTCTTCTTTAGGCAAACTTGGGACAGCTGAGGTCCCGTCCAAAGGCTCATTTCCCAGCTGGGTTTCACACCCACTCCCAGCCTCCCTGGACACTAGCATGTTTGCTGGGGCCATCCTATCATCACCTTACTGTCCCGTTCCCCCTGAAATGGGGTTTGCTTTTTCCCCAGAAGACAGCACACAAACATTTCATGCATAATAACCTGAGCTAATTTCCACAGAAGATTTGGTTTGCACGGGACTCAGGCATCACCCTCTCAGCTACACCCACAACCTGTTATTCCACCTGCCAGCAGAAAGAACATGGATGCACACTTTTAGCTAATTCTTATACTCATGAGAAATATTAGACCAAGGAGGTTTCAATATTGTTGCCTTATAAAGGAAAAAATGTCAAAATTGTTTAAGGTGGCTGTTAATAAACACCTTGCATACCTACTGATCTCATTGCAATAATATGGAAAGAGGCTTTACCCCCTCCCTGGACAGAAATGGAAGCTGAAGTCATGAAGATTGCTTCAGGCCATTCTCACCTACTCTGCAGCCCTGTTCCACTGCAGGCAGTTGGGTGTCTGTTTTCTAGGCAAAGTTGCTCCTTTACGAGTCCCTTTTGGGGAAAACAGAAGGAAAGAAAGAATTGCCCTTCTGAGAGCAGGCAAGTGAATTTAACAATGAGTTCTTGTGTCTTGTTGCCAGAGAAAGGTTTGTAGAGGCATGCTCTTCGCAAGATCAACCTTGAGCTCATTGCAGGATGAGAGCCTAAAAAGTTTTGTTTTTTTTCTCACATCACTGTTACTACTGTTGAGGGTGTAATTCTTTTCATCCTGTGCTAGCAGACTCTCAATCTCTTTTCCAGTTTCTGGTTAGACCCCCAGGAGCTCCTGGCGGGGAAGCACTGAGCAACAGCTGAAACAGAAGAATCCCGCTGAGATCAATGCAGAGAATTGCGAAGAATGATGGCAGAACTGGCTTCTGGTTTCTGGTGTCTGAGCCCTCAATGAAGCCAGGAGGCAGCTGCTATCACACACCTCATGTTGTCTTCTCACATTAGCTCTACAACAAGCCACTGTGCAGCCTGGAGGGAAGTGGAGACGGGAGGTGTGCAAGGTGTTATGTCGGGACACTTTGGTACCTTTCTCATGAGTGTGGCAATGCTGATTCTGCAGACCTGGGGCTCACATTAGCCTCAGCATTGTGTGTGACCCTCCAAACTCTGCAGAGGTCTTCACAAAGAAGTATGAAACTACAGAGCACTGCTGACAGGGATCCTGGGGAAGCCAGAAAGGAAAGGGCACGGGAAGACCCCCAAAACTATATAAAGGAACAGGATATCCCTACTGAGGAACAATTCATGCATGAATCAGTTAGTAAAGATTTGAAGTCTATCTGATGGTTTCAGCAGAGATTTAAGAAAAAAGGTGTGCCCAGCTTGGCTGAGGGGAAGGTTGTAGGCTGCTGCATTGAGGAAGAAGTATTATTTTGAGTTTTCCTCTGTACCAAGAGGCAAAAAAGAGAGGGAGTTCTGGGCTCCCTCTTGGGTCATCCTTACCCAATCTCAGCGCTGTAGCATCGGTCTCCGGCTGAGCTCACAGACACCTCCCGGAGAGTATAACTGCTTGCCTGCAGAAGTAAGATACACTTTACCTGTGGATGTCAAGAGCAACTTGAGACCTATTTTCTGGAATTTATTTAGTCATCTGAAGAGGCCAATTAGACATATAGTGATGCTGCCACCTACCTATGTATTCAGATACTTAAATCCTGCAGCCCTTAGGCTGTGTTCTCTTGCGTGCATTCTCTTGTAGTTGCATCCATGCTTGTTAAAAAGATTATGACAGCCTGCCCACAGCTGCTCTTCAGTCCCCTGCTAAGGCTGCCAGCACCCTAGGTCCTCCTGATTGATCTGTTGGCATGAGCAGATCCAAAAGCACTCCAGTCTAAAGGAGAGGGACAAGAAAGGACCTGCTGTTTAGGCCACTTAAACTAACATGGTTTATGTCAAATCAACCCAAAGCTCTGTTCAGAACTCAAACTAAATCTAATTTTCATTGGCATTTGGGAAGAAATTATCACTTTTATATTTACCTCAGTACTTGGTGCAAAATAGCAGAGCTATGATCTAAACTCTACTAAAAGCTGTAAACTCAGAGAGGTTACAACTATTTGCACTAGTAAAATGGAAACTTGTTTTATAAATGCTAGAATGAAATAGGAAAGTTTGTATCATGGTGTTTCCAGGCTGACTGCAATTACTGTGTTTTCTTAAAATTTTCAGCCCTCAGATGAGCAAACAAATTCTTCATACTTTTACAGCAGAATAAATCAACATTTACTAAATGGGAAGGATATGAGGTTAGGTTCAGCATGCAGAATCTCAAACATGACATTCACATATGGGCACACATTTGTCAATAGCCAGGGACATGCCTTGTGCATCCAGGCAGTGTAGCACAATGGGGGCTTTTCATACCATTATCCTGTGTATGAAATGTAGATGGTGATGGCACCATGTGTGGGAGGCACTACACACAATTCTGGGAAGAGCCATACCAGAAGGTAAGCTGCCTATCTACCCACTACTGACACATCACTGCCTGTGCCACACAGCAGGAAGCATCAGACATCCCCTGACACAGGATCTTATTGTATTTCCTCTCTGCTCTTGAAGCTACCTGAGAAGCCTGACTTAGTGAAGCACAGGAAAATCAAGTTAAATTGATTCTCCACAGCTTTGCATTCACTATTCTACTTCCTATAAAACAAATGTAAAAGAGTTCTCTGTTGTTATAAATTCTCGTTTGAACATGATTCCCCTGACCAGTTTCATTCCTTATGGTAGATGAGTAGGCTTCAAGCTTGCCAACACTTACATATATTTGTGGTTAATTTAAAAGCATATGATTGGTTCCACCAAAATTCATAAGGTACTTGGGTAAAATTAAGAGTGCAAAATCAGGCTTTCCAGGATGATCTGCCAATAAAGTAGTTGGAGCAGAAGAGGCAGTTCAGCCTCTCCAACACCATCATTTCATGCTCAGCATTGGAAGCTATGGGTATTTACAGATGAATATAGAAATGCGTATGCACCAACTTATTTGGTGACTCTGACTTCCATTTTTACCTATTTTTAGGATATTCAGGTAATACTATTTGTCCCACCCCTTCACATCCCTGGCCCCTTGCCTTTAGGTTCTTTGGAGTTTACAAATCTGCATTTCTTTTCTCCATTGCATTTCTGCTTGATATGCTTTTTAATACAAAGCCAGGCCCTCAAAGAAAACTTTCACAGGCTTGGATGTTAACTACATCTCGCCTCAGCTTTACACCAGTATCATCACATGTGACTTCAAGTCACTTTTACCCCTGACTTGTCAAAGAGACTTAAGAAGAGAATCAGGTCTGTATATCTCAAGACAGACTCATTTAGCCACAGACTCTTGGCAAAGACCACCAATAAACAGCCTCTCAGTGCCCAGTGCCTGTGTCCTACTTTCAAAAGTGGCTTGGGTCATCATTTTGAAGAGATTTAGTTATGTAAGGATGCAACTAGTAGTAAAAGCTCTGCTTGAGTCCTTGAGACTAGATATTTGGGACAGCTAGTTAAAAATATCCATCAATAAGCTCCATGGCCACAGATACCTTTGAAACTGTAGCAGTCCACAGGTTCAGGATCCTGGGGGTTGGGTTACATCCGAATGTTTTGAAAGCCCCAAGACTGGAAAAAATGCTATTTTTCACTTCCCTGGTACTGGGAACTACAGGTCAATCAAGGGGTGGGAAAGCCCAAGTAGCAGCTCCAGATGCTCTAAAGCACACTGCTTGATTCCCTCATATGAAAACACTTTTCAACCGAATGGTACCTGTCTCCTTTGAACTATCCCGTGAAAATCTGCCAAGGAGGTAAACTCTAACATCACTGTGTTGACCTGAGCAAGAGGCAGGAACAACATACAGAATACAGCAAGGCAATGAATTGTGCTGAGTAAGTCATGAAGGCAGCCCAGACGGGAGAAGCAAGGGACGTGTTGTGCAGGTGAGAGCTGAGGGGGCTTGCAGAGGTAAGCAAGGGCTCAAAATGGGGAGTGCAAGAGGGCTGCAAGATCCCATGGAACCCCATGAGGGTTTGGGACTGGAATGGTGCAGGAGGGAGAGCTCTTAGGTCTCATCCAGGGGACATCTTATCAATGTACAAATATCTGAAGAGAAGGTGCAAAGAGCACAGAGCCAGGCTCATTCTGTGGTGCCTTGTGCCAGGGGACAAGAGGCAATGGGCACAAACTGGCAGACAGGAGGTTCCCTCTGAACATCAGGAACCCCTCTGTGCTGTGTGGGTGACGGAGCACTAGCACAGGTTGCCCAGAGAGTCTCCTCCTTGGAGATCTTCAGAAGCCACCAGGACATGGTCCTGGGCAGCCTGCTCTGGGTGGCCTTTGCTGGAGCAGTGGTCTGGGCCAAACAGCCTCCAGAGGGCCCTTCCCACCTCAACCCTTCCATGTGGTTCTGTGCCTCTGTGCTTTTGTGATTCTGTGACACGGACTGAGCTGTGTGCAATGCCCAGGACTGTGATGGCTGGTGAAAAAAGTCAGATGGAGAGAGGACATCATGCAAAGCTCAGGAGAGCACTGTCGGGCAGGCTACAGGGCAGAGATGGGAGCTCTACAGCGGAAGCTCAGTGGTGGTGGTAAGGTATGGATGGAAAGGAAGATCAAGAGTAGGAACAGCTCCAGAACTGAGAGGCAGAACTAAGGGTACCCTTCCAGCCCATGCACCCTTTCTCTGGCTAGCAGGGTGCAAGAAGCATTGACAGGTATTCCCAGGTTCTTTCTTGAAATGCAGGCAGGCAGAGCCTGGGGTGTACCTCATTTAATCAGCTACCAGACACTCAAATTCCCTCTGTTATAGGAATGAAGCAACCAGAAAAAGGCTGAACAAAGCTGAAGCCATTTTTTTCCCATTTCTGTCTGAAGTAGGAATATTCCTCTATTCAGGAGACAGTAACACAAACATGAACAGAGAAGACCAGTGCTGTACTTGCCAGGGCCACATTTACTGTAAATAATGCTCATCAGAGAGAGGTCTCTAGAAAGGTCTGTGCCTGTGTGTAACTGCCATTTTCCAGCGCAGTGTGATATATCCATCGTCAGATCCCATAAGTAAAAATGAAGTAGAACAGAATCAGCTGCACACATCAGTTCACAGTGACAACTGAGAAGAGACATGTTCTGATTAATACCCCAGGAGATGTTCTTCCCATTCATGTAGTGTTAGGGTTAGCAAGACTTAAATATGCCAACAGCCTTTGTCTGCCACCTATCCTGGGAAAACAACTGTAGAAAATAAACCTCCAGACTGTTGGACAGAAAGAGCAGGCAGAGGGATGTAACAGGACATGGGCACCTCTTGCCCCTCATCAGCATGTGCTGTGAAACATACTAATGACGTAGTGACTGACAGACACAAAACCCCAGCTGGAACTGGGAAAGAGCATTGTGTTTTACACTAAACATATTTAACACTCTCCTGCCTAGGGGAAGCCCAGCCCATACCATTAGGGAATGAGTTGAGGCTGAGCCAGAGTAAAAGCATCCATCCTGCTCCTCCCTTCTCCTGCTCAGATATCAGACTTGGCAGCACAAGGGACTGGGCTCCGGTCAAGCTCCAGTACAGACCCTCTCTCTGTAAGATACTGACAAGTCTGGAGAGGAGGAGAGAAGCTCATATCCCTCTGTGGTCGGCAAGTTTTGTTCTCCCCCAAACCTCTTTCCTTACCACACCCTTCATAAATACTTTTTTTTTTTTTTTAAGTCAAATAAGGGGAAAAAAAACACATAGGAAAAGCTCCTTTTATTTCTCTGAATTTCCAAATAAAAACAAAGACAGGCAAACACAGGGTGGGAAACCAAACTTCATAAAAGATCTCCTTGCTCACAAGCTTGCCTCCAGCTAAGCCTGAAACAAAATCACGAAGTGGGCTTCCTCTGCATGCATGCACACACGCAAACCCTGTTTATAAAAAACCCTCTGCCTAAGAAGCTCCCTAGAGCAGAAATAGTGACATAAGAACAAGCACTGTGTCCCCCTCCGTAATATTTTTGTTGTATTCCTCCCACTCTTCCCCCATTCCTTCAAAGAAAACTCTTTTGATGCTGAAAACCAGTGGCTCTGCTGCTCCCCTCCCAGCTCTCCAGACGTGGTTGTGCCTGCCGAGCCGCCGCTATCAATCCTCTCTTTCCAGCTGCAATCCTTGTGACTCAGATTCTCCAGAAAACCCTTGGCTCAGCATCAGAAGAAGGAGGGATTAAAACTCATGAAAAATGAGCTCGTACCAGCCCTTTTTGTAAGTCCCTAATGGAGGGTCATATGAGCTGGTCAGACCTCCTGCCCTCCCTTCCCCCATTCCCGTTCTCTGATCCTCCTGTTATTCTTGGCCGCAAACTCCTGGGCAGTTGGATCAGGAGAGGATATCCCATTCAAAAGCCCAATTCCCAGCGTGGCCTTTTCCTGCTGGAAGCAGTTGTAAAAATTCTTTATTTTCTATTTTTTTTCTTGGTACAGTCTGCCTGACCTACATATTCCAGCATGGTGTGACTTACGCTCCATTGCTGACCTACATTTTCAATCTCAAAAATAAGAACTCGGGGAAGAGAGGCCAGTAGATGTGGAAAGGAAGCAGGAAGCAGATCTCCCTAGCCCTGCAAGGAGATATCCAAGCAGTTGCCCAAAAGTAAGCCTGATTATGCAGCTTCTTTTTATTCCCCTTTTCCTTGCCCCCCAGCTGTTTCTACTCAAGAACCAAAACAAAACACAGATCTCCTGCTAATTCAATTTCAGACTGGGAGTGATTTTGAACAAATCGCTCAGGCTGCTCCAGACTGCTCCCTTCTATCCATAGCCCACCTAAAAGGTGAGGCCTGGCATCCAAAAAGGGATTTGGGCTCCTGCTGCCCCCAGGAGCTGTGTGCCTGGCTGCTTCCAGTATCTGGACCCCCTAAAGGTCATCGCTGCCTGTGGGCACCAGCAGCCATCCCTCCTACAAGGGAACGCCCAAGTTTTCTTCCATTTATCAAGCTGCAACCAATGAGTTCTGTTGTTGCTTTTTCCATACTGCATACAAAATTCAGCATTGCCCCTGATGTTGCTACAGCAGAAGAGCTGTTCCCAAGCCATCTTCTGTGGCAGTGTGTGGAGCATATTGATCTGACACCAACGCATTGCTCCCTCACTAAGGACTGCTGAATTTGGTCCCTCTTCCTTCAACCTTAGAGGATACAACCTACTATGCCTTGGCCCACAGGCTCCCCACTGACCACTTCATCAACTTTAATCTTTCTGTCCCTCCCTTCAAAGCTCATTCTTTACAGAAAGAGCTTGAAAGACAAACTCAGCCTAATAAAAATAGGGATGAGATAGGAAAAAAAAAAAGAAAAAAAAAAAAAAAAGAAAAAAAAAAGACACATTAAATTATAACCATGGGACAGACCTTAACGCAGAAATCTTACCA